CAGGGGGAAGAACCTTCGCTTATAGAGCCCCACAGTTATGGAACAGTCTTCCTATTAGTGTTCGGGACTCAGACACAGTCTCAGTGTTTAAATCTAGGCTTAAAACGTATTTGTTTACTCAAGCTTACCCTGACTAGATTTTATCTCACCAATTCACAGTCCTAATCGTTTTCTCCCTCTCTCTCTCTTTTTGCCGAGCCCCACACGAATTTATGGAGATATTGGAGATCCAGATCCCCTCTGCCTCTGGATGAGCCCAAATCTTCTGCTGGGACTACGGCTGCTCCTAAGGCCATACTTCTCATTTTTCACATTATCTGTGTTACCTTCACATTCTGTGTTACCCAGATGAGGATAGGTTTCCCTTCTGAGTCGGGTTCCTCTCAAGGTTTCTTCCTCAAAAAACATCTTAGGGAGTTTTTCCTTGCCACCGTCGCCACTCAGTGGCTTGCTCAGTTGGGATAAATTCCATTTGTTTTCTACCTGTTTGTCTCTGTTTATCTGTTCCTGTTTGTGTCTCTTTAGATGTTTCTGACTGTTTATACCTGTTTTTTATTTCTGTAAAGCTGCTTTGAGACAATGACTATTGTAAAAAGCGCTATACAAATAAAATTTAATTGAATTGAATTGAATTGAATCAGATCTGAAAGAATGAAAAGTAACAAAAAATAAATGCATTGTGATGTTCACAATAGCTCGGCTTTGAAGTTCACATTGCTTTGAAAGTCTCATTGTGACATAAGGACTGTTCTCACAGCAACCTAAAACTGTAGGGATGTAACAAAATATGAATGCTTTATTCACGATGACCAGAGAATGTGCTCTAAACAGATACAAGTGTTCGGTATTTACTTTTGTGCAGGCATGAGCGAGCAGTCAGATGCAAAGCCCGCAGAACTAATAAAAGAGTACAGTGCCTTTTATAGCATCCTTAGTAACTGCCTGGTCAGGGTTGCACAGGTTTAAATTTGGCTGTTAGTTTTTTTTTTTATTTTGAGAATAAGAACCAATTAAATTTGCTAGAAAATATAAAATAAAAAATAATGTGTGGGATTAAAAATAACAGGTGAGACCCATCAGGACCTTGAGTGATATAGCGGCGGTTGAGGAACGGTCAGAGCCAAAATTCACACACCATCCTGACCATGCTGTCGAATTTCTACCTCTGGGCATTTCTAGTGTTTCCAGGTGGCCTAGTAGAAGTTAGGCCACACCAGCTTCTGGTTTAAAACCAAATACAGATATATACAGAGATATTTACAGCACTAAACAGATAGAGATAAGACACAGATAAGGGCATTGAGCTTCACCCCTACAGAATATATATAGTTAAGTATTTTTTTTTTAAATAGTATTTATAGTATTAATACCTTTTATAGTATTAATTTTCCTAATCTGACAGAGTATGCTAGTGAGATAGTGGCAAAAAATAAATAAATGCTGCATTATTTGCATAGCCAAACTGCTGGGCTGAGCTTTTAGAGGAGTTATTGTATATTATTTCAACACAACCTTCGGGTAGTTAAGATAATATATGGCTGGGTTGTCATTGCAGCCCAGCATTTTTTTGTTAGGAAGGTGGTAACCCAGTTTTGGACCAGTTTTCCTGCTGCAATGTGAGTGTGTATGACACAAAGCTATTGAAATTCCCAGTCATGGTCACCGCAGAAGGGCGAAGCACATCACAGCTGAAAGAAACTATTACGTTGGTTGGTTGTGTGTGTGTGTGTGTGTGTGTGTGCGTGCGTGCGTGCGTGTACGCGTGCGATAGCGTCTTGAGTGGTTTCACTCAAATTCACATCAGTGTCATGTCAGTCTCATGATGTCACAGGCATGTATCATACAACATTTCAATAGAGCAGATTTCCGAATATCCCCAGCCAAAGATGTTCAAACCTCAATCCCATTTATAAAAAACACTTTTTAAAAAATATTTGGAATAGCAGGTGAACAACGAAACGAAAGCTTACTGAATCTTACTTATAAAATTGACAGGAACAGTTTCAAGATAGCGGCAGAATCATTTGCTGACAGGATTGCCACTGTTATTAAAGTGTACAATGACATACAGAGAACCTTTTTATTTATTTTTTGTTAACTGCTATCAATTTGATTAGTATTTAATACACACACCATCCACTTTATTAGGAACACTTGTACATTTGCAAATTCATGCAATTATCTAAAAATCCCTAAAATCAATGAATAATCATGATCTCAATATTGATCAAAATAATCATGATTATCATTTTGGCCATAATCATGCAGCCCTGTGTGTTCTACTGAATATATGCACAAATCTTTTTATCATAACTAAATGCTGAGTCCAACAGAGATGAGAAAGAATCACAATTTTTATCAAAAACAAGCATGCATAAGACCTCAAATAAATGACATTTGGCAGAGAGAGAGAATTGAAAGAGCACATCCCAGGAGGATAAAGGAAAAAAAAAAAGAAAGGGATAGAATTTCACATGAAGTCCATGGTAGAGAGAGAAGGTCAATGAACAGAAACAGTGTATATTACACATATACACACACACACACACACATATATATATAGGTTTTTTTATTTTATTATTACACACATGCATACACACAGTGTCCTCCGCTAATATTGGTACCCTTGGTAAATATAAGCAAAAAAACTGTCTTTATTGTTCAACCTAAGATCTTTTAACCTTAAGATCTTTTTTTTTTATTATTATTCACAAAACAACTCTGCTCTCATAGATATCAAAACACTTGCAAACAAAACACTTTAATCCAAAAAATTCTTTGTTAAATATAGGTGTGCAACATTACTGGCACCCCCATTTACATAGAAACATATATTTGAAGAACTATTCCAATTCTGAAAATGTTGTGACAGTATGGGAAAATGCAAAAAACCAAACAAAATGTCATTTAAAAATTCTCCTTCACCGTGTACTATATGGAAAACACATTATTAACATATTATTTGATGTTTTATTTTGTAAATTTATTTATTTTTGAAAATATACGCTCATTTCAAATCTGATGACTGCAACACACTCCAAAAAAAGTTGGGACAATCGACTGTTTACCACTGTGTACCATCATCTTTTCTTTTAATAACACTTAAGTGTTTGGGCTCTGAAGACACCATTTGGTTAAGTTAAGCAAGTGGAATTTTTCCCCATTCATCCATTATGCATTTCTTCAGCTGCGCAACTGTACGGGACCTTCATGGCTTTATTTTGCGCTGCATAGATGCACCACACGTTCTCAGTCGGAGACAGGTATGGACTGCAAGCAGGCACCCGCATCATCTGCTTACAATCCTTGTAATCCGGGCAGAATGTGTTTTGGCGTTGTCCTGCTCTGAATGGCAGCATATGTTGCTCCAAAAATGTGTAAATATCTTTCTTCATTAATGGTGCCCTCAGAGATGGGTACGTTACCCATGCTATGGGCACTGACACACCCCCATACCATGACGGATGCTGGGTTTTGGATCGGACGCTGACAGCTTGGGTGATCCTTTTCCTCTTTGTCCCAGAGAACATGACGGCTGTTTTGTCCAAGTATATGAATTTTTGAAAGGTAATATCAGTTCAAATAGAACAGTAGCAGGTTAATTTTACTGACAGGAAGTATAAGCCACTTCCTAGGCAACGGCGCATGACGTCATACGAACGCTAGCGTTAGCAGAGTCACCGACAATGACTTTCTTCCATTTACTTTCTGTCAGCATTACCTTTAATTCCCAACATGACCTCAGTCACCATCAGACGGAGGTGAAATCGTCACGTGACAGAGAAAAAAATTGTGTAACCTCCAAGTCCTCTAAGGCAAGGAGCATTTTAAACACCGTGGAAATCAAACTGATGCACGAGGACAAAGTTATGTTTATATCCAAAATGCTCCACTGTGTGTAAGGGGCAGGGAAACTGGTGCAAGCTGTTTAAAAGGTTTAGTTTAATTTAAGTTTGTCATTATCTGCTGTATTTGCACGCTTGCAGTGTAAATTCTGTTGTTTATTATAACACAAGTGATGTGTTAGTAACGAGGCCACGCTGCTGATCACACGCAGTGTAGACGCGCTGACAGAGTAGGAGCGCGAGTAAGATCTGTAATGTCTAATTAAAACACTATGATTATTAGTAAACACAAGTAAAATAATATGTCTAAAAGCAGTGAGTAACAAACCATAAGGTGCAGTGAATGATTTTCATTGTTAATTTAGGACAGTAGTTAAAATTTGGTGCTTTTTGTGCATCCATAAAAAAATCATAAATACTATAAAATAAATGTTTATATTTTTATGAATGCACAAAACACACAGAATTAAACTACAGTCCTAAATTAATAATATATATACACTGGTGTGTGTGTGTGTGTGTGTGTGTTGGGTTCTTTTCTCTTTTGGACAAACAGTTTGTAAGGTTTTAGTCTGAAGTATATATTCGTAACACCCAGTTTGTGGATTTTATTTTAAATAAAAAAAAATTTTTTAAAAGGGTACTGAAAGTTCCCCCCAATTGGATTAATCGATAAAATAATCGGCCAACTAATCAATTGTGAAAAAAATTAGTTGCAACCCTAGTTGACTGAAAAGGTTTACCAAATTCTTCCCGAGACCAAGTCAGGATATCCATTACAGACTCATGACGGTTTTTAAGACAGTGATGTCTGAGGGATCAGAGATCACTCGCATTCAGAAGTATTTGATATCCATGAGTAGTGTATTTGTTATTTTTTTAAACAAAAAAATCAAAAGGTTAAACAATAAAGGCAGTCTTTCACAGCCTTCTTTGCTCATATTTACCAAGGGTGCCATTATTAGTGGAGGGCACTGTGTGAGAGAGAGCACTGCAACAACTAATTGAGAAAATTGATAATCAATTTCAACAAATCTCAGTAGTTGCTTTACATTCATGGCATTTGGTAGACGCCCTTATCCAGAGCGACTTACATTTATTTCATTCATACATCTGAGTAACTGACAATTAAGGGCCATGCTCAAGGCGCCAACTTGGCAGTGCTGGGTTTTGAACTTACGACCTTCTGACCAGTAGACCAATACCTTAACCACTGAGCTACAACTGCCCCCATTTTATTAAACTACCCGACAAGTCTAGTATACCCCACTTTGATACATAGCGAGTATGCACTCTATGGTGCTGTACTAGAAATTTACAAGGAGCTGTGTAGGTAGTCTGGCCTGTGAGTTTCCGTAGGAAAAATAACCTTTGTTGTGCTTTCTTCAAAAGGTGAGAGGTGTTGATCTTGTCATGTAGACTCCAAGGAAACTGATGTCGTTCACACTCTCCACTTACTCTCCATTTATCTGCAGAGGAAGGTAGGTGGTCCTCCTGGATCTCCTTATGTCTCAGATGATCTCCTTGGTTTTTGTGGTGTTCAGGACCAAATTATAGTCCCTACACCAGTGAATTAGATTGTACCTCCTCCCTGTAGGCTGTTTCCTCATTATCAGATACGAGTCCCACTATGGTGGTGTCATCAGCAAAATTTACTATGGAGTTGGAAGAAGGGATTAGGGTGCAGCATGATAATGTTGTTTAAGGCAACTAGGCGGTAGTCGTTGAGGCAATCCACCACAGATCTTTTGGGCAACAGAAAGATAGTGGTGGACTTGAAACAGGTGGGAACCATGGCAAACTGTAATGAGAGGTTGAAGATGTTTGTGAACACCCCAGCTAACTGTTCAGCACATGTTCTGAGTTTGAGGCCTGTGACCCTGACAGGTCCTGCAGTTCTGTGGATGTCAACCTTCTTCAGAGTAGCTCTTACTTGATGATTGTAAGGAGAGTGTTTGCTTGTCCTTTGTTGGTAAATGGTGGGCTCCAACTCTGTTGATTTAGTCATCAAAGCAAACAAAAAAAAATGATTCAGGGAATCATGAAGAGGGGTCATTACTGATTTGTGAGGGACTACCGTTGTAGTCAGTTAATTCCCTTACACATGCTACAGGTGTTGCTGTCCTCAAAATGACCTTCAATGCACTGTTTGTATTTGTGTTTCGCTTCTTTGATTCTTTTCTTTAGTTCCCTCCTGGTATTGCTTTAGGCCTGCATGTCGCCTGATTTATAACCCACGCTCTTTAAGCAGAGACTGTACCTTATTGTCCAGCCATGGCTACTGGTTGGGGAACGTTTTGATGTTTTTTTGTTGTTAGAATAGACTACGTGCAGAAGTCTTTATAGGTCAGGACTGGTGTACTATATTCCGCCAAATCAGCTTCTTCTGCAAATGCATCCCAGTCTGTGAGCTCAAAACCATCTCGCAGTCATGAGATGGCTTCCTCATTCCAAACCTTGACTGTCTTAACAGCTGGTTTTGTTCTGCAGATCAGAGGCATATAGGCTGGTGTCAGCATTAGGGAAACATGATCTGATGAGCCCAGATGTGGAGCTGAGATGGCTTTGTATGCTCCTGGAACATTTGTGTAGACTTGGTACAATATATTATTTTTTTTACTTGGGATGTTAACATTTTTGTGAAATTTTGGCATTATTGCCTTTAATTCAAAGTGATTAAAGACTCCTGCAACAATCACTGCCCCATCTGGATGCATAGTTAGCTGGCTGCAGCAGTCATCGTTTACATACATGAACACTCCACCAGCTCTTTTCTTACATGAGTCTGTTGACCTATTCGCCTGGTAAACAGCACGGCCTGCTAGCTCGATGGCAGTGTCAGGAACGGTGTTAAGCCAGGTCTCTGTGATAATCGTCATGCAGCTGCAGATGTTGTTAGAAGTAATTCCTAAGCAAAATTCGTCCAACTTGTTGACGAGTGACAGAGTTTGTGAGGAAGAGACCCAGCAGGGATGGTTTGTATGAGTTAGCTCTTAGCCCATTATGAATGCCAGCGCTCTTTCCCTTCTTTTGCTTTCTTTCCCTCCCTTTTTTCAATGTTCAGTAAAATCCTCTATTTTTATTTCTTTACATGCAATTTTGTTTAACTCTACATTTTCCAAAGCAATAAAGAAATATGCAAAAGAAAAGCAAATAGAAAGAAGCAAAAGGGTCTGAACAGGTCTGCTTCTTATACTCACATAAACAGGGACCTCATCTCTGTTCAGCTCCATTAGACCATTACACTTTAATCTGCAAAAAAACAAAGCACTTAGTTTAATACAGGCCAGAGTGGTGGAAATACATGTCAACACACATACCTGCTCAACAAGACACATCTGTAGCAAACCAGTCTGAGTGCAATGCTGCCCAAAACCATATGCGCAGATTGTGCCTACAATACAATACACGCCTATACACACACTAGTTAGGAAAACACTGAGAGGACAAATGTCTATTCACTAAAAAAAAAAAACATGACATTCAATTGAAGAGAGAGAGGGAGTGGAGAGAAAGAGATAGAGACAGACAAACAAACAGACAGAGAAAAAGAAGAGAGAGACTGCAAATTGTATACAAAAGAACAAAAGGACTACAGCAGAGCCCAGGACTGCAATTTGTTAGTGGGAAGATTCACAAAGCACCACTGGCTAGTTTTATACACAGAAGGAAAGCACAGCCCCAAAGTACAAGAGTTTGCAATTAAGAATCTAATAGTGCTCAGAATGCTGCAAAAGTGAATTCTCAGTAAGTTAAAACATGTTGAATTGGGGTGAACAAATCTTTAGCCAGAGAATCCAGGACAATGACATCGTCTGTTATATTAATGTTTTGTTTTTTTGCTAGGCAGACAAATAGGTTTTAACATACTGACTTACACAAAATAAAAGTTTTCATTTGGTATGTAAACCTTCCATGCAGGTTAAAGAAATTACTGTGGTGATTGAGAAGTTCATAACTCCAGATATGAGACACTATGAATCCTGCATTCTCTACCAGACAGTAAACATGTCCAGGGCTACAGAGAGCAATTGTACTAAAAGCACAACTAGCTAACCACCGAAAGCTTGGCCAGGGAGAGGAGGTTTTTAATTTATTATTACGTTTAAATTGATGTATGTTTATAATGTTGAATGTTTTAAATCAACTGAAAATGGAAACCTAAGGCTCATAATCAGGAAATGCTTAGTCTTGCTATAAAAATTTTATAAACATTATTTAATCAGTTCAAATGATCATACTGCAATGGCAGATAACAGTTCTTCTGAGATAATTTCCTATAAGAAATGTATCCTTCAACAAGCTAAAATGACCTGCCAGTGCAGTAAGAAGATTTTACTTAAGATAAGACAAATCTAAGATCTGCACTTATATAGCACGTTTATCCAAAGTGCTTTACACTGCGTCTCATTCACCCACTCTAATGGTAGCAGAGCTGCCATACAAGGCCCTAACTTGCCATCAGGAGCAACTTGGGGTTCAGTGTCTTGCCCAAGGACACATCAGTTTGTGGAGTCACGTGGGCCGGGAATCGAACAGTCAACCCCACGATTAAGTGAACAACAACACTAATACATTTGGCCTATATTCAAGATGTATTTCCTGGCCAAGGGATTTTTTTTTTGCATTTCAGACTTTAATCGGTGTTAATTATTTACAAACGTATCATAATCATGAGTACAAATAAACATTCACACATTATTTGTGGCTTATGTGCAGCTTTACAACTTCACAATTAATGCTAAGTTTAACCATGGCGTTTAAAGGGATAATGATTTATGGTGTGATGACAGCTGAACAATTTACATCATTTGCAATAACAGGCACAGGCTCCAAGTACTGATTTATTGCTTTTTTTAAATGTAGACATTCTGAATTCTGTTCCCAGCAGCACCATATTGCTGCTATAACCCACAACTTAACACAAAAGGGATTAATCATTTGAAGAGATTACTACCAAGGCATGGTCACTATATGACACTTTCTTTTCCCAAACTCATTGCGACATTCTCTTGATACCTGTAACCTTACACGATGCATACACAATCAACTCATTAATACTTCATGATGATGCAGACAGATAAATCCAGGAAGGCCATGTAAACACACACACAAAGATCAAGAGACAGTAACATAGGCCGAGAGAGAGAGCACAGAGGGAGGGAGAGAGAGCAAAGAGAGCACAGAGAGAGAGAGAGAGAGAGAGAGAGAGAGAGAGAGAGAGAGAGAGAGAGAGAGAAAGAGAGAGCGCAAGAGAAAGAAAGAGATAGGCAAAGCAGCTGTAACAAACTAATGAGAGGGGGAAACTATCTTTACCAGTTCTAGACAAAACTAGTATAACATTCTCCTTTCCTATTAATGCTTAAACATTAGTTACAGTATGCCATTGATTTCTAGCAAGACACTTTCAATTGTAAGAAGAAAAAAAAAGCTGCCAAACTGACGCATTAGTAGTCACTATACAGGTACAGTGTGTCAGAGGAAGTCCTAATATTCTAGACTCTTTATGGCTACAGCAGATCACCAACCATAAATAACAATGAGAACGGTCCACTGGTATGCAGTAATGTTGATAATAAATCCATAACCTAGCTTTAATGGTGTAAAACAAAACAGTGAACTAATATTTTTCCTTGCTATTTAACATTTATTGAACAGAAATTCTGTTCCACCATTAAATCACTCAATTTGAATAGTTTCAATATTCAAATTATATTTTAATTAAGAATAATTTGCTTTAATGTAGTCAGGAAACAGACAAATAGATAAAAGGTAATTCAGATCAAATTAAAGTTTTGTGTTTTTTTGCAAGGATATGTGTTGGGAAACAGCTAGCTAGCTACAAGTACCGGTGCTACTAGCTTAACTACATTTTTAGTAGATTTTTTTTTTAATAATGTAGCAAGTATTTTTGGAATTAAACATATCACAATGTGGCTAGCTTGTAATCATGAAGGCGAACAGGAGTAGTAAGGTTAGGTGTTAAGTGTATCAAAATAGATAAATATTTAATGGAGCATGACAACTGACCTTAGGTACCAGCATAATAGCTAGCAAACTGAACCAAACTGTAAGAGATATAAAGTAAGCCCTCTCTGCATCAATTGGTTAATTTTTAAATGATACTATTTTACAGTTTAATAAACTTAACTACATCTAAGAACAGTTTATAAACAGAGAAGCAAAATCTCTTTGTTATTGTTTAAATTGTACAGTAATAGCTGCACAA